GGAAAAACTTAACACAAGATGCCCTTTTGAAGGTAAGCATAACATTCAAAATGCATGAGTATAAAACAAACTCTAAGAGTTTAGTGTGAATGACTTAGTAAATTCCTTTCTAAAGAATTGGTTCACAAGAGGAAAAATTGACAATATTCTATTTACAATGATTAATGGAGAAGATATCTTAATTGTTCAAATATACGTGGATAATATAATCTTTAGAGCAAATAAATAAAAATTAATATGATGGGAGAACTCAACTATTTTTTAGATCTACAAATTAAACAATTAATAGAAATGATCTTCTAAATCAAAATAAATAAATTAAAGATTTTTTAAAGAAACATGATATAGAAAATGTAAAGCTAAGTTCAACTTCTATAAGCACATTTACAAAACTTGATATAAGAAGCCAAATATCACAAACTTTATTGGAGCATGATTGGATCTCTTCCTCACCTTACAATAAGTTGAACTGACATCATGTTCAGTATGTGCATGTGTATTTGCTTTTAAGGTAATATTAAATAGTTATGTTTACATGTTATTAAAAAGATATTCAAGTGCTTAAAAGACATAATTCATTAAATTTTACTATTTAAGAAAAAGCTTTTTAGAATTAAATAGTTATTTAGAGACTGTAAAATTGATTAAAAAAAGTATTATTGGAATTCGCCTATTTTTTATTAGCATAATTGTCTTTTGGTTTTCTAAAAAACGAAACTCGGTTGCCTTGTAAAACCATGGAAGATGATTATGTTGCTATAGAAAGTTGTTATACTTAAGTTCTATAGATAAGGCAATAAATAACTTGTTTTGAAAACGAAATAGAAAGTATAATCATCAAATGTGATAACACTAGTGCTATCAACTTAAGCAAAAACTCTATTTAGCACTAAATAACAAAACATATTAAAATAAAATATTATTTTATAAGAGATAGAATAATATTTAAAATTGAATTTATTCATGTAGAGTTTCAATTTCATAATATATTACCTTTGATTTTATAAAGATTTTTCATTATTAAAAGAGAAGTTTGTAACACCCAATAATTTCTTAATTTTTATTATTATTATTAATTTTATTTAGTTTATTTTATAATTTTATTATTTTAATTGATTTATTTAATTTAATTTAAAATTTTCTTAATAAAAATAAAAATAATAATAATGATAAAATGGGGTAAAAATATTATTTGGATTTAATTGAAATTGATTTTGGGAAAAAGGAGTGAAAATTAGGATTCTTGGGGTATTTTTGAAAAGAAAATCGAAAATCGGGGGTCAAAACGCAATTTAAAAAAATTGTGCCCCGTTAGCGCCACGTCAGCGGCCACGTCAGCGGCCCAGTCACCAGCCCTGGCCAACCAGGACCTGCCACGTGGTAAGACCACGTCGACCCGGGAACGGGCCACGTGGGCGATCCGCGTGTGCGCGATCGGACGGCCCAGATGCGTTCACGCGCGCACGGACGGCCCAGATCAAGCGTGTGCACGGACGGCCCAGATGCAATCGCACGGACGACCCAGATGCACGCTCACGGACGGTCCAGATTCAATCAAGAACGGACGGCCAGATTTAATCAAAATGGACGACTGTGATCAAAAGGCAAAAGGGTATAAATAAAACCCCCACACCTGACCACAAAAACCCTAGCCGCCTACCCTCGCCGGAGAAGACGAACCCAAATGCCGGAGGAGCCGACCGCCGCCACCCGCCGCCGCACCGGAGAGTTTTTCGACCGCCGATCGAGGTAAATTTCATACTCTCGGCTCGTTTTTCAATGCTGAGTTCCCCTGTGACCATATCGGAGCCAAAATCCCGGCCAAACGGCCGAAAAACACGGCTGAAACCCAGCGGCGCCCCGCGCCCCTCCTCGGTTTTTGCCTCCGATGAGGCCCTTCCCGGCCTCCGTTTGATACAATTTTTATATCACCGTGATCACCATTCTTTTCTCTACATGTTGATCGGAGCCAAATCACCAAATCGCCAAAACACGAACCTCGTCGGAGAACTGCCGCACCCAAGAGCACCGCCGCCGGTAAGCTTCGATTTTTCGTAATTTTTTAGCCCCCGAGGGCCCTAGGGTTGTTTTATCGCAGGGACCGATGCAAGTGTGGCCGAATTCGGCCGAAAACGGCCAACTTGAGGTGAATAGTTGCCGCAAGCGGCGGCGCCGTCGCCGGAGCACGGCGGAGCCGCCGTGCCGGAATTGTGATATTGGCCGAAAGGGGCCCTGGGTTTAATTTGAAATTTTTTGGGACACGTGCAGGTACCAGTAGTGCGTTTCAGTTCCCCGAAAAAAATTCAGGAAAAATTAGGGACAGCCTGTAAGCGCACTGTGGAGCCGTATTCGGACCCCGAAACAAGTAAGGACCCCTCACCATATTTCTTATCACGGTATTAAAGTTCAATAAATGATAAAAACGGTATTTCATGAATCAACAGATGTGTGAAATTGTTTAAGGTCGCTAATGGAGCCCGAGTCTGGTGTGTTTGTCGGTTAGCTATTGTTTGGCCTATTTTACAGTTTTAAATGCAATATGAGGTCTGACGTTTTCATTTCATAGTTTCGTATGCATATATTACTGTTTTATTGATTGTGGGTTGAATGACTGAGAACCGATGTTGTATGTTGTATTGTTTGACATAAATTACTGGTTTGCTTGTTTGTGTGTGAATTGATGATGCTGACTGAGGAAAAGAGGAATGAAAGGTTATGTAAATTGATAATTGTATAATGTGGTCAGCCTGACTGGATATCCTAGGAGATGGTGGACGGACCGGGTCCGTAGGGAACCCTACCGGGATTGTGGTCTCTCATACCGGACGGAGTATGGAGACCTTATGTGTTTTGGCGCCCATACCGGACGGGGTATGGGGACGACCCGTTTCACCCTCATACCGGACTGGGTATTGAGGTTTATAGTTTTGGCGCCCATACCGGACGGGGTATGGGGACGACCCTGGGATCTGATTACAAGTGTTAAGGGTTCATGGGTAGCGGGACCCCTATGGATCCCCATGGATACTAGTAGGCTGGTAAATGAGGAAAAATATGTTACGTAATGATTGAATTGCAAAAAGCGTGATAAGTATTATGTTATACAGTTCATATGATTTCGTAATGATGATAATGTTATTGGTTTCGTATCTTGTTTTATGAATTTCATCGAGGTAAGTGGATAGTAAAGACTTTTATTATTGATAAAAGAATTTGTGGTAAATTATGCTCCATTGGTCTTTTTGTGTTTTCTACCCACCTTTACCTCCGTGACGGTGAGATAGTGTGATGTCTTTACTGGGCTGGTGTAGCTCATTCCTTATTTAATCATTTCAGATCAGGAAGACATTGTTCCCGAGCTCGTTCCGTAGAAAGACGGCGAAGGGGATGCCTGAAGACTCCGTAGTTATATTTATAGCTTTTATTTTCGAGTTTCTCTTTTAGTTAGTTGTTCTTTTATACTTTGAGTACGTTTTTGGTTTTAGTGTAAGGGATGTTAATCAAAATTTTTATTTCGCTTCCGCATTTGACCTTTTTAATACACATATTTCATTTAAGAATTCCGGGGCCGTTACAAAGTTGGTATGAGATACTTAGTGATACTTAGAATAAAATAAAAAAGTACACTAAAAATATGATTATTTCGAATAAAATATGAGATGTACTAATGTATATAATTCCTAAAATCACATCGAATTTTTTTGTTAAGAGATATAATTAATAAAATATCAATATTTATGCTAAATTACACTTTCAAATTATAGTATGCACATTTATGCTAAATTATACTTTCAAATTATAGTAGGCGGTGTACTCTTAAGTATAATCACTTGAATTACATAAAATAATATGTTGATTATTTTATTGAATAAGGTATAGAATCACTTCCAGGTGCCTTAGAGTTTTTTGGTTACAAATTATCATGCTAATAATCATTTATGAGTAGAATGACAATTCTGTAAATATTTTGAAATCTTTTAAATTGTAAAATTTGTTCTTAAAAAAACTTTTAGTTCATGTATGTCAACAATTATATCATTTCAATTTATTTCTTTTTTTCTTAGATTGTCGTATCTCCGACTCCTTTGGTCTTTAAATCAACAAGGCACTTCCCCAGTTTCTTCAGCCATTTGTTCACTTACTTCATAACTTTACACTCTTCCATTTTCTTATCTATATAAAACCATTAGCTCAATTCTCATAATTCTTTTGTCAGTACTCATTTTTTTCCTTCCCTCTCTCTTGAACTCTCACTCAAGCATGGGACAAAGAAAGAAAATCCTTTGCAGAAAGAGAAAGAAGTGCAAAAAAGAAACAAATCTTGAACCTCTTTTTTCTTTAAGCTCAGCTTTAACTCCCCCGAGTTCCAACCTTCATCAGTACCATCAAAAGCACTTATCCATATACCCAAGTCAAAAGCTAAACCTCCACCCATGACAAAACCAAAAGAACAAGAGGCCTCATTGATAAAGCTCTTCCTACTCAACCCTTTGAATCCAGACCCTTCTGAACCCAAATCTCAATAGTCCTTCAACAACCTCAAGATTTATTTTGTAATACAAAAAATTTAAGATTAAAATAAAATTTAAACTAAAATTTAGAGAGTCAAATCATAATTTATTTATTAACTACTATGAAAGTAATTAATATTTTTAGATGGTGTGAATAAATATGGTGCTAATAATATCTAGCTTTACGTAATATATACAATTAATTAATTATATATATAAGCATTTTATAAATAGCTTACAATCAATATAGTTAGATATATTTATGATTTGAATTACATTCATACCACATTATATAAGTAATTATATAATGTAATTATTAACGCACTTATTCTTATGCCTACTTCTAAGCCCGAACAATAATATAAATTGTAAAAGATTTTAGTATTGAACTAAATCTATTAACAAGATTTCCATATATGTGTGTACATATATATATAGATGATACATCATCTATATAGAATGCTCTTCAGAAATAAATTGTATAAGATTTTATCATTTTCCCGGTGTTGTGTTAGAAAGCCAATGCCACGTCACTCTCATCGTCTTCTCTTTTTATCTTCAACCGTCATCCCTACATTTGCCACCCACATATTCTCCCTGAAATTGAAATGGAAAACAAGGGTTTATGAATTTGGTTGATGTGATGACACTACATGGCTGCCATTTTGATTACCAGTCCTCAAGGTCGCTTTCTTACCTTCTCTTTATTCAACACTCCCTTCCTTCCTCTTTCACGACCCACTTCTTCAAAGCTTTTGCTCAGAAATGGAATTTCTTCTCCTAAGCTCCTCAATTCCACTTTATCTCTTCATTCCTCTACGCCTTATGCGCTCGGTAACTTCGGTCTTGTTTCTACAACAGGTATCTTCACTAATCCTTCTTACCTTCTCTTGATTCTTTTCCTCATTTATAGTTAGATACTTGATTGGTTTTAGTTCTGGATGATGGAAAGAATTTATGTTTGGCTGCTTAGAAAATAACAGTTTAGTAGGCATATAGAACTCAGGGGCACGTTTTAGCTGGTACATTTCGCTGCTGCATGCCCGATTTCCAAAGTATTTGCAGTTTATTTGCTCTAGTTGGCTCGGTTGATTATCCCTCTCTCATGCCAGGACTACTGAAATATGGAAAACTAGACACTTAGCTTTAGTTTGTTTCTTCTCTCTTTTATTTTGGGATTTTTGTTCTTTCTGGTCTTAATTCTTGTTGCTTCTTGATCATCGTTTTTGACTTTACTGTACTGGGCAGAGTGTCCTGATGGAAGCCTTGTGTTCCATTTTGGAAATGTGAGTGAGAAGGAAAGGAATGCTCAAGTGGAAGAATCGAGGGTCGTTCATGGGGCTGTTCAGGACAGCAAAGTAAAAGTTGGCGGAGGTTTAGTGAAACAGGATACTGAAGATGGTCATGCAGTTGAGGTACCTAGTGTGGACCATGAATTAGAAACTGTTGATATTGATTCTCCGCAAAAGAGAGAAAAAAGAAACCACCCAGATCAAGTCCTTGATATTGTTAATCTTAGGAAGGTGGAGAAAGAAAATCATATTGTTTTTGACTGTCATACTTTTGATGTCAACACCAATCTACATTCAAATGAAAATTCAATTGAGAACGATAACCAGAAACAAATTTCTAGTCCAGCTAGTATGTCTGAGTGTAATGATGGTGTAACAGGAGAAAGTAATAGAGTCTCGGTCTCCAAGGTGAGTTCTGAACAAAGTAGTAAAATTAAAGATGTTGCTGTTATGAGTGATGATGTTGTGATAGGAGAAAATAGCACAGCCTCTGTCTATGGACAGAACAGTAGATCCGAAGATCTAACTGTTTTGAGTGATGATAATGAAACGGTAGAAAACAGCAAGGCCTCTGTCTCTGAGGTGAGTTCTGAACAAAGTAGTAGAAATAAAGATATAATTGTCTTGAGCAACGGTGGTGAAACAGTAAAAAATAGCAGAGACTCTGCCTCTGAGGTGAGTTCTGAACAAAGTAGTAGAAATAAGGATGTAACTCTTTTGAGTGGGGATGGTGGAAGGACAGAAAATAGCAAAACCTCTGTCTCTGAGGTGAGTTCTGAACAAAGTACTGAAACTAAAGATGTTACTGTTTTGAGTATTGATGGTGTAACAGGAGAAAATGGCACTGCCTCTGTCTCCGAGATGAGTTCTGAGCAAAGTAATAGAACTGAAGATGTGGCTATTTCCAATATTGCTTCAATGTTGGACTCAATGTATGATGGAACAAAGGTTTCTTCTTCTTTTGAAGATTCTCAAAAAACTATTGAGAGTGAAGCTGTAACTCTGTCATCTTCTTCGGAAACTGGC